CCTTCTTTCATCGACTCTAGCTTTGATAAGCCGCAAATAGAAATTTGCGACGGAAATACATATATTTTATCAGATTATCGTGGTATATTCTATTTTAGTGTGTTGATTATGGTCCTGAATTGTTGTAATATTGAGGGGGGGTTGTGAGTAAAAGTCGTTAGGCCAGGTGAATTCAGCAGAAAAGGTATGTTAAGGCTATTCCCTTCTTATGACATGTTTCCTTAAAGCTTAGGAGCAATGTAATTTGGTTGTTATCGTTGTTATACTTGTAGCCATTATTGTTGACTGTTGGCTGCTCGAGTGGATATAATCCTCCTTGGTCGGGATTTTTATTCAGTTAGTAGTGTCCCTATGTTGGACACGACTTAGAGGTTATTTGTATAGGTTGCTTATAACTAAATTACTCGCTTTTAGCTATTGGATTGTTATTGTTGCCCTTGGGGCTATTGTGGTTAGCTGCAGGAATGTGGTCTATGCCTAGAAGGTCTATGTTCTTCCTACGGGTCTATATTGATGCCTAAAAGGGCTATGAGTTGTCTACGGGGCTATATTGATGCCTAGAAGGGCTATGAGTTGCCTACATGGCTACATTGACGCCTAAGAAGGCTATATGCTGCCTACAGGGCCATATTGTTGCCTAAGAGGGCTATGAGTTGTCTATAAGCTATGTTAATACTTAAGAGAGCTATGTGTTTCCTACGGGGCTATAGTAATACCTAAGAGGGCTATGTAACTACCTACGGGGCTAGGGGACTATCGATATGGGTATATAGACTGATTGGCACCTTCTAGGCGTATGAGGGCCTGGGTAGGTGGTCTTATGTGCTGTTTATACATGTCGAACTTATGGGGGCTTGGTTAGGTTGTTCTTTTATTATTTTTGAGTAGTTTAGATTTAGGAGAAGGTTAGTACACTTATCTTATCCTTGATTTATTTATCGGATTACTCCAGTATATTAGGATACCTGCTCATAGTTTATTGCCTTTCATACTTTGCACATTATTTCATATGGATGCCCCATTGCCTGGGGGCATTGCATTCATGCATGCAGGTCCTGACACACGACCGAGTAGACCTCCTCAGCAGCAGGATTGACTTCTATCTGGTTAGCTAGACCCTTTCCTCCGGAGCTGCCAGAGTTGGGAGGTTTGTTAGCTTTTGTTGTATATATTTTTATGGGTAGGATGGTCCCTGTCCCGACTATATTTACTACTCTTAAAGGTTTGCAGACTATTGTGGGGGGTTTATAGCTATGTTATGGCCATGCTGGCCTAGTTTGTTGGTTTGCTGAAGCTTGCTAGTTGTGTGATGTATTGTCTTGATATATACCTGCTATCAGTTTTGGTATAGAGATCATGGTGGCCTCGACGGCCTAATCAGTATTTTTGTGCTAGTTGTTATTTCTTGATATGAACTCTTGGGAGTAGCTGTTTCTTTTATGGATCTGTTTACCAGGGCCTTGCCGGCCAAGGGCTTAATTTTAAGCCAAGATATACTTGTTTGTTTTCTTGATTGCATGTGGCTGCCATGCGCTAGTAGCAAATGATTCAGCAGGATCGGCTCGAGCCTGAGTTTTGGCATTAGGAGCCAGTTGCGCCCCTTGAATATGGGGTGTGACAAACTTGGTATCAGAGCAATGTCGTATCCTAGGGAGTCTGCAAACCGTGTCTAGTAGAGTCTTGTTTATAAATATGTTATGCACTACATTCGATAAGCAGGAAGTTATCAGGCATGTTAGAATGACTATTATTCTTTTTCTCACCTCGTGCTATAGAGCGGCGTCTTAAAGGTTGAGATTTCGGGCTTATAATTAATATTTGTATGCAGATAGAGATGGCTGCCACCTGACAGACCACAGCTAGCCAAGGGCTAGATACAGTTGCAGGCGAGGGTACCGGCAAGGTACTACAGGTGGAGGTAGCCCGTTGTGAGACCCAGGGGGAGACTTCTTCTCAGCCCCCTATAGATTCTATGTGGCTTCAAGAACCACCGAGGGCTACAGGACCCCCGGATCCACCAGCAGTACCACCTCTAGTTCCTCCTATGCCATCTGATCAGGATTTCAAGAGTGCAGTATGTATGTTAGCACAATTAGTAGCTGCATAACGCCATCTAGTTGCGCCAGATGTTGTCGGACCTTCTGAAGGGCCCGAAAGTTTGAGAGTTCATGAATTTCTTGCCTTGAATCCTCCACGGTTTACAGGGACAGATCGCAGAGAGGACCCTCATCACTTTGTTGATCACCTTCATAGGATCTTCAGAGTCATGCATGCCTAGTCAGTTGAGTTAGTAGCATTTCGAACGCGTGATGATGCAGTATTGTGGTACAAAATTTGGGAGAGTTCTAGGGGAAAATATGCATCTCTACCCACTTAGGATAGTTTTACAGAAGCTTTCATAGATCACTATTTTCCTAGAAAGATTAGGGATGACCGGGTGGACCAGTTTCTGAACCTCCGACAGGGTAGCATGAGTGTCCGATAGTGCGGCCTGAGATTTGATTCATTGGCTAGATATGCACCAGCATTTGTTGATATGATGCATGACAGGGTGCGTAGATTTGTGGGAGGGCTTGACTCAGACTATATCGACGCTTGTTCTACCACTGCACTAAATGATAATATGGATATCTCGTGAATTCAGGCCTTTGCACAGGGCATAGAAGATTGTCGACATCTTCAGTATATGAGTGAGAGGGTCGAGAGAGACAGAAGAGAAATAGGCCCGCTGGTTCACAAGGAGATTTTTAGGGTGGTCCCAGACCCCAATATTCTATTAGGCCACCTAAACCTCCACCACAGCAGTTCCAGGGTAGTAAATTTTATAGTCAGGGATAGTCAGGCCCATGTGAGGGTTCATGAGCATCAGGCTCTCAGTAGCAGAGGGGTTAAGGCCAGGCTAAGACAATCCCACCACATTGCGCTACTTGTGGTAGGAGGCATTTTAGGAGGTGCAAGCAGGGTTCCACAGGTTGTTATTCTTGTGGACATAGGTGGAGGAACTGCCTGACCATAGGTCAGGGTGGTATATGCCAGTCGACCGGGTCAGTAGTAGGTTCCTCCTCATCAGCATAATCTACAAAGTGTGGACCCCAGAATTCAATGGGTAGAGGCAGAGGTGGAGGCAGAGAGGGAGCATAGTGGCCAGAACCGTATATATTCACTAGCCGGCAGACAGGACTCAGAGTCATCACCAGATGTTGTGACAGGTGCATTAATTATTTGCTCTCATTGTGTTTATGCTTTAATAGATCCTGGATCTACTCTATCTTATGTTACTCCATTTATTGTGGGGAAGTTATGTCTAGTAGCAGAATCATTAGATCGACCCTTTATTGTATCTATAACAGTTGGTGAGCCTATTAATGCTAGGATAGTCTATCGATGTTTCACGGTAGAAATTATCGACCGTCAGACCTCTGTAGACCTGGTAGAGTTAGAGATGGTTGATTTTGACGTCATTATGGGTATGGACTGGTTAGCGTCTTGTTATGCTAATGTTGAGTGACAGACAAAGATTGTTAGATTTCACTTTCCAGGAGAGGCTGTTCGGGAATGGAAATGTGATACAATAACGCCGAAAGGTAGGTTTATTTCCTATCTTAAGACGAGGAGGATGATTATTAAGGGTTGTATTTACCATCTTGTTCGCGTTCATGATATAGATGCAGAACCACCGACTCTTCAGTCTACTCCGGTAGTTAATGAGTTTCTAGATGTATTTCCGGATGAGCTTCATGGTATCCCTCCAGAATGGGGAATTGATTTTGCTATCGATATGCTACCAGGTACACAACCCATTTTTATCCCTCCCTACATAATGGCTCTTGTTGAACTAAAGGAGTTGAAGGATCAGCTGAAAGATTTGCTTGATAAAGGATTTATCAGGCATAGTGCTTCACCATAGTGTGCACCAGTATTATTTGTGAGAAAAAAAGATGGCCCGCTGAGGATGTGTATCGATTATCGACAGCTGAACAAGGCTACTATAAAGAATATGTATCCCTTTCCGAGGATCGATGACCTGTTTGATCAACTACAAAGTGCTAAGTACTTCTCGAAGATTGGTTTGAGATTAGGGTACTATCAGGTACGAGTTTGGGAGAAAGATATTCCGAAGACATCTTTTAGAACTAGATATGGGAATTTTGAGTTTTTGGTTATGTCTTTTGGATTGAGCAATGCCCCGACAGTGTTTATGGACCTGATGAATAACATATTCAGGCCGTATCTAGATACATTTGTGATTGTATTTATTGATGATATTTTAGTCTATTCGCATTCAAAAGCTGAGCATGCATATCATTTGCGAGCGGTCCTTTAGGTTTGTTAGTTCTGGTTGATCTCTATGGCTTTCCTAGGCCATATTGTATTGGATGCGGGAATTATGGTTGATACGCATAAGATTGAGGCCGTGTAGACTTGTCCTAGACCTACAACTCCGACAGAGGTTCGTAGTTTCTTAGGGTTAGCTGGGTACTAAAGAAGGTTTGTAGAGGGGTTTTCTTCACTTTCAGCACCACTAACAAAGCTGACTCAGAAAGTAGTTAAGTTTCAGTGGACTGAAGCTTGTGAGCATAGTTTCCGGGAGTTGAAGGATAGGTTGACATCAGCACCAATGATATCCTTACCATAGGGTTCAGAGGGCTATGCAGTGTACTGCGACGCTTCTAGTATTGGGTTATGATGTGTTCTGATGCAACATGGTAAAGGTGGTCTTATATGCTTCAAGGCAGTTGAGAAAACATGAGAAGAACTACCCAACTCACGACTTAGAGTTGGTTGCGGTTGTGCATGCACTGAAGATCTGGAGACATTATCTATATGGCGTTCATGTGGACATTTTCACAGATCATAAAAGCCTTTAGTATATCTTTAGATAGAAGGAATTGAATCTTCGATAACATCGATGGCTTGAATTACTAAAAGTCTACGACGTAGACATTTTATATCATCCAGGGAAGGAAAATGTGGTAGTTGATGCCCTTAGTCGTAGATCAATGGGAATTTTATTATATTTAGGTGTTGAGAAGCGTGAGATAGCGGGAGAGCTTCATCAGTTAGCTTGCTTGGGATTCAGATTGTTAGAGGCAGATGATAGTGGGGTCATAATTCAGGACACAACCGTATCATATCTATTTGTAGAAGTAAAATCACAGCAACAGAAGGATCCTAGCTTAAAGCAGCTCAGATCCGAGGCTCAGGATCAACAGTCTTTAGCATTTGATATAGTTGAAGATGGAGTCCTCAGATACAACTGTCGATTGTGTGTTCCAAATGTTGCAGGGATTCGACATCGGATTATGGAACAGGCACATCATTCCTATTACTCTATTCACCTTGGTTCGACGAAAATGTACCATGATATTAAGGAGATCTATTGGTGGCCCAGGATGATCAAGGACGTTGCTGAGTTTGTGGCACAATGTCCTAACTGTCAACAGGTGAAGGTTGAGTACTAAAAGCCCGTTGGGCTAGTTCAGGAGATAGCCATTCCTTTGTGAAAGTGGGAATCAATTAATATGGATTTTATTACAGGGTTACCTTGATCATGTCGTAAGTTTGACTCTATTTGGGTAATTGTTGATAGATTAACAAAATTAGCCCACTTCTTACCAGTCAGGGATACTTTTATGGCCGAAGACTATGCAGGGCTCTATATTAGAGATATTGTTAGGCTACACGGTGTCCCAGTATCTACTATCTCTGATAGAGGAGCACAATTTACCACAAACTTCTGGAAGTCCTTCCAGAAAGGATAGGGGACACATGTTAATCTTAGTACAACCTTTCATCCTCAGACAGATGGTCAGGCTGAGCACACAATTTTTACACTCGAGGATATGTTACAGGCGTGTGCGCTAGACTTCAAGGGAAGTTGGGATGACCACTTGCCTCCTATTGAGTTCGCATACAATAATAGTTATCATTCTAGCATCGGGTGGCACCTTATGAGGCTTTGTATGTGAGAAAATGTAGATCCCCCATTAGATGGTTCGAGGTAGGTGAGTTAGGGTTTATTGGACCCGACTTAGTACAGCAGACAGTGGAGCAGGTTAATCTCATTCGGGAAAGGTTGCTAACAACTCAAAGCTGATAGAAGTCATACTCAGATGTGTGACGAAGGGACTTAGAGTTTTGTGTCGATGACTGGGTATTCTTAAAAGTCTTGCCTATGAAGGGTGTTATGCGATTTGGCAAAAAAGGCAAGCTTAGTCCAAGATTCATTGTGCCATATCAGATCCTTTGGAGGGTAGGACGAGTGGCTCATGAGTTAGAATTGACTTCGGGGCTAGAATCTATTCATCCAGTTTTCCATTTATCAATGCTACAGAAGTGCGTAAGAGACCCTTCTTGGGTTGTCCCAGTTGAGGATGTTCAGATCACAGAGGAGTTATCCTACTAGGAAACTCCAGTTGCCATTTTAGATTGGCAGGTCCGCAAATTGAGGACCAAAGAGGTGGCTTCGGTTAAAGTATTGTGGAGAAACAAGAATAGAGAAGAGGTGACCTGGGAAGCTGAGGATGGAATGAGGTCCAAATATCCTCACTTGTTTTATACCCAGGGTGATGGCATATCAGTCTATATTAGTGTAGTGAGGCAAGATACCTCTCTGATTTTTTTTTATATTGTTGCTTATTATTATTGTTGTTGTCAATGTATATTTTCTCGCACTGTTAATGCGAAGCTATAGTGCTTAACTATTTATGTCATCATGTGAAACACCTAGGTTAGAATTTTTGCATTTGAGGTTACTGGATAGTGACATTTACAAAGAATACTTTGCCTAAATTTTGGAAACTCCTAAGGACTTAACCGCATCACTTAGATTTTTCATTCGAGGATGAATGTTTTGAGGGGGCAATGATGTAACACCCCGACTTTTCAAAACGTCTAAAATTACACGTATCTTCATGGAAAGACAAGGAGGGTGGATAATAAATTAAGAATGATGTGGTATGTCATATTTTAAGTGTTCAAGGATTGTATCTCGAGTTTTGAAGTAAGGTGAGTGGCAAAATAAAAGTTGGCGAAAGTTATCATAAGTTCCTTTTTAAAGATTTCTCTAAATTTTTGGTCAAATATCTCGGAGGTTTTTTCCCAATCTATAAAGATTTATGGGGCCCACGACCTAGCAAATCGAAGGTCTACAAGTCTAGTTTCCAACGCATTAAACCGTTTGTTAATAGGACTTTAGAATAGAGAGATATTTGCATTTTTGCGAGATTGCGCAAGTAGGCACGTGAGGTAGGGCCCTAGGTCGGTGGAACTTTATATATATCTTCTTCTTTGACTTTTTCTTCATTTTTCTACCTAAGAACCAGAAAAGTTAGAGAAACCCATTTCTAGGATCAACTAAATTATAGATTTTCTTGACTTAAGTCCTTGACGAAGGTTGTTCTACGCATTGGGTTCGTCATCGTGGTTTAATTTGCTTTATCGATTTTGTATCATATCATACTTTAGTGTTAGGACAGCAAGGGTTTGGACATATTTGATGGTTTTGAGGTGTATTACGAACTTAAGATCAAGGTAAGACCCTTCTTTCATCGACTCTAGCTTTGATAAGCCGCAAATAGAAATTTGCGACGGAAATACATATATTTTATCGGATTATCGTGGTATATTCTATTTTAGTGTGTTGATTATGGTCCTGACTTGTTGTAATATTGAGGGGGGGTTGTGAGTAAAAGTCGTTAGGCCAGATGAATTCAGCAGAAAAGGTATGTTAAGGCTATTCCCTTCTTATGAAATGTTTCCTTAAAGCTAGGAGCAATGTAATTTGGTTGTTATCGTTGTTATACTTGTAGCCATTATTGTTGACTGTTGGCTGCTCGAGTGGATATAATCCTCCCTGGTCGGGATTTTTATTCAGTTAGTAGTGTCCCTATGTTGGACACGACTTAGATGTTATTTGTATAGGTTGCTTATAACTAAATTGCTCGCTTTTAGCTATTAGATTGTTATTGTTGCCCTTGGGGCTATTGTGGTTAGCTGCAGGAATGTGGTCTATGCCTAGAAGGTCTATATTCTTCCTACGGGTCTATATTGATGCCTAAAAGGGCTATGAGTTGCCTACGGGGCTATATTGATGCCTAGAAGGGCTATATTGACACCTAAGAAGGGTATATGTTGCCTGGATGGCTATGTTGTTGCCTAAGAGGGCTATGAGTTGTCTATAAGCTATGTTGATGCCTAAGAGAGCTATGTGCTGCCTACGGGGAAATATGAATGCCTAAGAGGGCTATGTGACTGCCTACGGGGATAGGAGATTACTGATAGGGGTATATAGAGTGATTGGCACCTTCTGGGGTTTTGGGGCCTGGGTAGGTGGTCTTATGTGCTGTTTGTACCTGCCGAGCTTATGGGGTCTTGGTTAGGTTGTTTTTTATTATTTTTGATAAGTTTAGATTTAGGAGCAGGTCAGTATACTTATTTTATCCTTGATTTATTTATCGGATTACCCCAATATATTAGGATACCTACTCATAGTCTATTGCCTTTCATACTCTGTAGATTATTTCGTACCAACGCCCCATTTCCTGGGGCCGCTGCATTCATGCATGCATGTCCCAATAGATGACCCAGTAGACCTCCTCTGCAGTAGGATTGGCTTCTATCCGGTTGGCTAACCCCTTTCCTCCAGAGTTTCCAGAGTTGGGAGGTTTGTTAACTTTTGTTGTATATATTTTTATGGGTAGGCTGGGCCCTGTCCTGTCAATTTTTACTACTCTTAGAGGCTTGCAGACTAGTGTGTGGGGTTTATAGCTTCGTTGTGACCATGTTAGCCTAGTTTGTTGGTTTGCTGAAGCTTGTTAGTTGTGTGATGTATTGTCTTGATATATATACTTGTTTTCCATTTTGGTATAGAGATCATGGTGGCCTCGACGGCCCAATCAGGACTTCTGTGCTAGTGGCTATTTCTTTATATGAACTCTTAGGAGTAGCTGTTTCGTTTATCGATCTTTTTACAGTGGCCTTGCCAGCCAAGGGCTTAATTTTAAGCCAAGATATACTTGTTTGTTTTCTTGATTGCGTGTGGATGTCATGCGCTAGTAGCAAATGGTTCAACAGGGTCGGCTTGAGCCTAAGTTTTGGCATTAGGAGCCAGTTGCGCCCTTTGAATCTGGGGTGTGACAAAAACCCTTTTCAAGGAGATATTTCGACTACTCTTTTAGCTCTTTTAACTATGTTGGTGCCATTCTATATGGTGGAATAGATATAGGACAAGTATCGGGAAGAATATCTATACCAAAGTCTATTTCTCTCTCAAGAGGGACTCCGGGAAGATCATTTGGAAAAACTTCTGGAAACTTTTTTACTACTGGAACTGATTGAAGATGAGGAATCTCAACACTAGAGTCATTAACTCGGACTAAGTGATAGACATACCCCTTGGAAACTAAGTTTCTCGCCTTAAGGTACAAAATAAAACGACCCTTAGGCACTGTTGAACTACCCTTCCACTCTATAACTGGCTCATTAGGAAACTGGAACTTAACAACTCGAGTTCTACAATCGGTTAAGGAATAACAGGCATGAAGTTAGTCCATACCCAAAATGAGATCAAAATCTACCATGTCTAACGCAACTAAATCAGCCATGGTGCTCTTGTGGTTGACAGAAATGGTACAATCACGATAATTTCTCTCAACTTGAATAGACTCACCAACAGATGTAGAAACACTGAAGGGATCAAGAAGTTATCAAAATTCATTGCAACATAAATAGTCATGAAAGATAGACTCGCTCCTGGATCTAGCAAAGCATAAACATCAAAGTTAAAGACTTAGATCATACCAGTGACAACATCTGGAAAATCCTCTCGCTCTTGGCGTCTAGAAATAGCATACAAGCGGTTTGCTCATCTGCCTGCCCCTCAACTAGTAGCTCCTCTAGATGCAGCTCTCTTTGGTAGAGCAACTGAAGAAGATTGGGCTCTATTGCCCCTATTACCATTACCTTGCCTATTCTTAGGACACTCTTTCATAAAATAACCATTCTGACCACACTTGAAGAAACCTATGGAGCCATCACGACACGCCCCTGAGTGGTTCCTACCATATTTAGCACATCCAGGAGTCCTATTACCCCCTTGTGCCACACTACCTTGAGACTGCGCAAGTCTAGCTCTAAAATTTTGTGAATTCTTATTTTGGAACTCACCTTTGTTCCTTGGTGCAGGTGCACTAGCAGATGATGGAGCAAGTCCCTTTTGCTTATGTTGGAAGGATGATCGGCTAGCATTACCCTTCTGTTGTCCGGACTCATTCCCTGTCTCAGCTCTCTTATTTCAGAACTCTTCCCTATCTTTCAGCTTCTCTTTCTCAACCTGTTGCACATAGATCACCAGTCTTTCTATGTCCATATCTCCTATCAGCATAGCTGCCTTGCCTTCTTTACCTAAAAGGGTGAGACAACCTAGCAACGAACAAACTCATCCTGCTTCTCATGCCACCGA